CCCTGCTCAGGTGATCTACGAGCGTGTTGCTCTCGCCGGGTAGGTGGAACGCTCGGAGGAGGATGTTGTGGGCTATACAGAACTCCCACAGGAGTTAGCTTCCTGGCATAAGGCCCTGGAGCGTGTGCCCCCTTGCCTGTTGATGTAATACATTGCGTGGTGTTGTCCGTGAGGACTCTGACCACCTTCCCTTGTAAGTGCTGGCGAAAGGCCAGGCATGCCAGGTGCACAGCCCTGAGTTCCCTGACATTTATGTGCAGGGTCAATTCCTCAGGTGACCACATACCCTGGGTCCTGATGTCCCCCACGTGGGCTCCCCAGCCCAGGTCAGAGGCATCCGACACTAGATCTAGTGAGGGAGAGGGGTCTCGGAAGGGGATACCCTGGAGCATGTTGCTCGGGAGGGACCACCATTGGAGGTATGCAACCACCGTTGGCGGCACTGTGACAACCTTGATCTTCAGCTGAAGGTCTCTGGATAAGCTACATAAGGTTGATTAGTATGAAATGAAGAGTTAAGCAAGGTCAGGAAGTCTGAAAGTAATTGAAAATTGAGCCGAAAAGAGAGAATTGAAGGGGCAGAGAGTCTGTATATTATCTTTAACTCATAAACCTTCCTTGAGTAGGACTCATCTCTGAGGCCTGACCTCAAGTTATGGAGTTAAATCAAAACCAAAAAACGTTTAGTTCATGCCAGCAGGGTCTACCAGGCCAGTTAGTATATGACAAGCTGGTATGCAGTAGAATTTACACCCAGCTGGTGCATATAATGCACTATATAGACAAGCCCTCAGTGGGATACATTGCATTCTGTTCTGGATAGGATTACCCTTTCTCATCAGAATATTTTATGAACATAAATGTTAGATCCAATCAATAATGAAAACAAGTCATAAAAATACTTTAAATTGGTCTTTTCCTATTAAGTCAACGATCTCTTAGCAACAAATATGCAAATAAAGTAGTTCTAGTGTGCATATCCCTTAGAGCTCTGTTATGGTAAGGAAACTTTTGATTCAAGATTACTAGATTTTAGCTCCAAACTCATTGAGGCTTAGTAAACAACACTTAGTCATTACACTTAAATTCTTTGTCTTCCAAGAACATGGAAATTTATAGAGAGTACATTATAATTTTGTTGGTTGCAGTGGTGTAAGTAGAATTTATTTCTTACCAGTACTCTGCACATAGGCGACTCATGGGAGAAACATAAGGGAGGGGGGCACCAGCTAAAGGAGGGGCGTGTGACCCTCCCATGTGACTCAACCCCCCCACGCCTCCCAGGCCAGGGCCCCCACACTCTCCCCATCCCCTCCCCAACCTAGGTTACCTGGAGGAGCGGGGGCTCTGTCCTCCAGCTGCGCCAGATACAGACTTCTGAATCGCAGGGCTCTCCGGAACTGCAGCAGCAAAAGGAGCAGAACATGAGGCCGCCAGGTGTCCCCACACCGGCAGCTCCTCCAGTGTGGCTGTACCACCCCCAGACCCTGAGTATATGGAATTGTATATGGAATTTCCTGCTCTGTACAATTTTATCTGCCAGGTACTTCCAGATATGTAAGAATAAAGTTGCAGCCTAATTAAAATCACCTCCAGTGTCTCCAGTCCTTCTGGCATAGCAGGACAAATGAAATCAACAAGACAAATTACAATAAAGATAAGTGCAAAGCACTATACTTAGGAAGGAAAAAAATCAAATACACATATATGAAATGGGGAATAAATAACTGGTTAGGCAGTAGTACTGCTGAAAAGGATCAGGGGTTTATAGTGGATCACGAATTGAACAGGAGTCAACAATGTGATGCAGCTGCAAAAAAGGCTAATATTCTGGGGTGTATTAATAGGAGTGTCGTATGTAAGGCATGGGAGGTTAACTGTCCCTCTCTACTCAGCACTGGTGAGGCCTCAGTTGCAGTACAGTCTCCAGTTCTAGGTGTTGCACTTTAAGAAATATATGGATAAATTGGAAGGAGTCTAGAGGAGAGCAACAAAAATGTTTTTAGAAGGTTTAGGAAACATGACTTATGAGGAAGGTTAAAAAAACTGGACATGTTTAATCCTGAGAAAAGAGAACTGAGTGGGGCCCTGATCATAGTCTTCAGATATGTTAAGGGCTGTTATAAAGAGGACAATGATCAATTGTTCTCCATGTCCACTGCCAGTAGGAAAAGAAGAAATGGGCTTAATCTTCAGCAAGGGAGATTTAGGTTTGATATTAGGAAAAACTTTCTAATTATAAAAATAGTAAAGCTCTGGAATAAGCTTCCAAGGGAGGCTGTGGAATCCTCATCATTGGTGTTTTTTTTAAGAACAGGTTAGACAAACACCTGTTAGGGATGGTCTACGTATATTTTGTCCTGCCTCACTGCAGAGGACTGGACTAAATGACCTCTCAGGGTCTCTTGCAATCCTACATGTCTATGAAGGCAAAAAGGCACCCTTTTAAAAGCGGAAGATAAATCCTAGTGAGGAAAATAGAAAGGAGCATAAATACTGGCAAATGAAATGTAAAACTACAATTAGGAAGGACAAGAAAGAATTTGAGGACAGGGCCGGCTCCAGCAATTTTGCCGCCCCAAGCAGTGGGAAAAAAAAAAAGCTGCGATCGGCGGCACTTCGGCAGCAGCTCTACAGCCGCCACTTCATTCTTCGGTGGCAGGTCCTTCCCTCCGAGAGGGACTGAGGGACCCGCCACCGAATTGCTGCCGAAGAGCCGGATGCCCCTTTCCATTGGCCGCCCCAAACACCTGCTTGCTGCGTTGGTGCCTGGAGCCGGCCCTGTTTGAGGAACAGTTAGCTAAAGACTCAAAAAGTAATAGCAATTTTTTTTTAAGTACATCAGAAGCAGGAAGCCTGCTAAATAACCAGTGGGGCCACTGGACGATTGAGGTGCTAAAGGAGCACTCAAGGACGATAGGCCATTGCAGAAAAACTAAATCAATTCTTTGCATCGGTCTCCACGGATGAGGATATGAGGGAGATTCCCAAACCTGAGCCATTATTTTTAGGTGACAGATCTGAGGAACTGTCCCAAATTGAGGTATCATTAGAGGAGGTTTTGGAACAAATTGATAAATTAAACAGCAATAAGTCACCAGGACCAGATGGTATTAACCCAAGAGTTTTGAAGCAAATCAAGCATGAAATTGCAGAACTACTAACTGTAGTCTGTAACCTATCATTTAAATCAGCTTCTGTATCAGATGACTGGAGGATAGCTAATGTGCCGCCAATTTTTAAAAAGGGCTCCAGAGGTGAGGCAAACTGGCGGAAACTATAATAACGAACAATATTGTCAGACATATAGATTAACATAATTTGTTCAGGAAGAGTCAACGTGGTTTTAGTAAAGGGAAATCATGTTTCACCAATCTACTAGAATTCCTTGAGGAGGTCAACAAGCATGTGGACCCAGGGGATCCAGTGGATATAGTGTACTTAGATTTTCAGAAAGCCTTTGACAAGATCCCTCACCAAAGGCACTTACGCAAAGTAAGCTGCCACTGGATAAGAGGGAAGATGCTCTCATGGATTGGTCACTTGATGATTACCCGTTCTGGTCATTCCCTCTGGGGCACCTGGTACTGGCCACTGTCGGAAGACAGGATACTGGGCTAGATGGACCTTTGGTCTGACCCAGTGGGGTCATTCTTATGTTCTTATGATTCTATATTTGATTGGTTGCGAGTCTCTTAGAAATAAAACTACCAGTTTTACTGAAACAGTTAAACCAAAGAGCTGTCTAAATGTAAGCATGCAGTAGCTGAACTGGGAAGGAACTGTTTGAATATACTAGACTATGCTATCATTGTACAACATTTTAAGAATGATGCTGATGGGGGGAATCAGATTGCAAATCCCAATAATAATAATCTTACTGGGTCAATTCTAAAATCTGACAAAGCACCTCATAACATTCTTCCTAACTCATGGGATTTCCCAAGGCTATCTGGGGTATGCAATTTTCACTTGAGACCATGGGTAGGTCTACACTTACCTCCGGGTCCGGCGGTAAGCAATCGATCTTCTGGGATCAATTTATTGCGTCTTGTGTAGACACGATAAATCGATCCCGGGTCGATCCCGGAAGTGCTCGCCGTCGACGCCGGTACTCCAGCTCGGCGAGAGGAGTACGCGGCATCAATGGGGGAGCCTGCCTGCCGCGTCTGGACCCGCGGTAAGTTCGAACTAAGGAACTTCGAATTCAGCTATGCTATTAACGTAGCTGAATTTGCGTACCTTAGTTCGAAATGGGGGGTTAGTGTGGACCAGGCCCATGAGCAGATTATTTTAAATCCAAAATACTGCTCAGCCTTATGAATCATATAATCTTAGTACACGATTATCAAGAAAGATCTATATGGAAAAAATACAGATTACATTCTAACTTCTCTGCACCAGTCACAGAAATTTAAACACCAGTCTGTGTCATACATCTTTCTTTGTGTCTGTCACCACTGGAAGAAAAATATTTTGAAAGACTTTGCAAAATTTAAGACTGCTTGGTTAATTCATAAAGTTGAATCAAGGAAATAGAAGAAACCTTTGCAAGTGTTCAATCTGCTTGCAAAAGTGAAATTTCACTTGTGGTATAAATGTCAAAAGTAACAGAGTAAGGACACAATCAATGAATGACAAACTTCACAATTATCAAGTTTATCCTTTGAACTTAGGAAACTTAAAAATTAGTCCAATATGTGAGGACCCATATTCCTCTTCTACTTTTATAGAATTCTGACTAGAACAAAGAGAGCATATTTTTCTCCTAGTTTGCAACAAACAAAATAAATATGCCTATGACAAATCCCCATCTTTAACAACTTTCCTTTAAGAGGTCTCTCATCTAGTTAATGTTGTATAACAGCATCCTCTAACTCGCAAACATGAATTTCTCTCAGTAAAATAAAAACAATACAGCTATAAATACACACTCATGAATAAAAATGTTTGCAAAACATGCAAGTATTTGTTGATGGGAAAACATAGAAGCTACTCACCACATTACAGCCAGGGCAGTCAGGGCCATTCTCACACGTCCTGCGACGAGCCTGAATCCCACCCCCACATTGGGTAGTGCAACGTTCCCATGGACCCCAGCCTGTCCAAAATATATGTGGAGGGCACAGCAAGTGCTCATTGCAGTATCTGTGACAAGGGAAAGCAAGAGGGAAAATAAAGTATTTAGTACAACAAAAGGTTTCCAACTTCTACATTTTTCATTATTTAGAAAGATGTTTGCATATGGAAATGTTTTACCCTGATGGCCTTATATTTATTTGTTGAACGCTTTTTTTTTAACCGTCACAAGTAACAGTTGTCAAACTGTATGTAGTGTATAACCATTAATGGAATTGTATTTTGTAATACTGTGGGTGTAGCATTTTCTTCATTGTCTAATCTCTTTCTACAATCTATTTAATTGTACTGGTAGCATATTATTCACCATAGTAGTTAGGTCAATCGCTGCTTTCGTAGAAGTAACACACACACATATCTGAAGGCAGAATTCGGTTCATGGACAACATAAGTAGACATCTATGTTGGCATTGCTTTGCTAGAAGAACCAAGCTTTCTTTTTCCAGTTCAAATATAGCTGAGTTTGCTTTTCAACTGTCCCAGTGTATGTTATAGGTAAAATAAGAGATAAAACATGATTCCAAGCATAAGAATACTATAGTGTTTTGATTATGTTATTACTTTTACCTCTGGAGTGTGTTTCTAATCATTGTAACCTAGTTAGGTTTTTTCAGTGGGCTGCAAACAACCTGAATCAGAAGAGCAGATAGCTATCCAAAGGGAGAAGCCAAATTCTACTTCACGGATTTTGTCTGGCCTGAACAAAATCATACAGGACACAATTTCCTTCCTCCCTTCCTTCCTACTGCTGGTGTACTGGTTACCTAATATCTATTTTCCCTTTACCCACTCAGCGAGTTTCTATCCATTTGTAATGTCCTGCCATGAAAACTAACATTAATATTTCAATCTCAATTTTTTTATACTTGAATACAAATAATGATGTTACAAAACTACTGTTGCCTTCAATAGAATCAGTGGCAGTGACCTTTTTTTCACAAATCCCTAAAAACCTCAACCTATAATTCTTTATTACTAAAGTATTGGGGCTTGTCAAGATGAATAGTTAATGTATGGCAAGCTGGGGTGTAAATATATAGTGCACTAGTTTGGCTACACAGACTAGCTGTCTGTGTGGACCCTTCTACTGTGCACTAATAGTTCCCTAGTTTGCAATGGCCTACTCCCATTTCAGTGTGGAACAGATCAAAGAGCACTAGGTACCTTTTAATGCACAGTAGCAGGATCCACACAGGCAGTCAGTAAGTGGCAAGCTAGTGTACTGTAGGTTCACACCCCAGCATGCCGCACACTAATTTTTTACCTAGACAAGCCCTCTGAATGTTTAGAACCAATTGCTATGTGTGTGTATGTATGTGTTTGTACTGCACATGTAGATGTAGGTTTACCTTATATGTGGGATTCTACCTCATAGAGTAAATTTTGCTTTCTGGCCAGCGCAACTCCACTGAAACTAACAAGGTTGCATGGGAAAAATGAGACCAAAATCTGGTCTTATGTGTATGTAGAGCAGGGCAAACTATTCACAGCACATAATGTATTTGATTAATTGAGACCTTCCCCTCCCCCTTTTTCTGAGAATTATCTGAGAATTATCCAATTTGTATGTATTTGTTAAATTAAATTATCCAGAAACGGGTTGTCCAAACATATTTCAGCTTGTGTATTATTTATAAACTATTCACCTATTTATTTAAATATTCACTATTAGTAATTTGCTGTTCACACTGTAATTGGTCACTTAAGTCACATCATGGTGTTCTGCTCTGATAGCTTCCAAACCCTCAAAATGTTCACAATGGCTTTACAAACATTCACTGTGCAAAAACAGTCACATGCACACATTTGCATGCATATTTGTGACACTCTTCTCTGTGATCAATTGGTGAACAAAAGTTTGCTAATATGAATATTCATGGAAATAGAGTAAAAGGGATCACATATGCTGAAGAAATTTCATACTTTTATTATTCAAAATGCACACATTTTTGCAGTATTCCCCCTGCTCTTAGAAGAGCAGTTGTAATGAAGTTTGGGACACATACATACAATAAAATGAATCTCTGACATTAAGTCAAGAAGCTACAGGTTCATGTCACATAAAATGTGTTATAAATGAAGTGTCTTTTTTTTAATACCAAGTCCCATTTTCAAATGTCAACATGTCATGTTTCTTGCTCTCTCTCAAGTAAGCATAGGGGAGAAACAAGACTTTACCAAATTAATTTTGTAGCCGATACTCTAAGTTTTTGAAAGGTTAGGAATGCCGGAATTCTGCTAGTCAAGTCCAGTTAAAGATACATTTGAAGCTACAAAAATCACAAAGTACTTATACAATCTGCTTAACTTTTAACAAAGCAAAATCAGCCACAGAGCTGGGTTTGCATTTTTCTCCCCTTCTGAAAATATCACAGCACACAAGTGTAGTCTTAGATTCACCTCAGCCATCCAAGCTCCAAAACCATCAGGTATGTTTTTATAGTTAAAGATCAATTGCAGGGGTGAATCTGGGAACTGTGTTGGAGCATGGGGTTTTGAGCCACGTTTTATTAAGCCTCTTTCCGGCTGCATTTCAAGTTAGCCAATAACTTCTTATTCCCTTTTACACACACTCTCTCTCCCTTTTCACTTTTTCCCATGACCCAGAGGGCTTACATTCTACAGTAATTCAGCCAAACAAGCAATGTCAGAAACTAAGATCTGTGTTTCTGGGCAGGTCTAGTACTGTCAGAAACTAAGAGGAGGGTAGAACGGAGAATGGCACACATACACACACACATACACACACACACACAAAGGCTAGGATAGTGCAATGATCCCCCCCTCTCCTTTTCTGACGAGTTCAAGTTCAATTATTCACATATAGGAATTGCCGTTCTGGGAGAAAAAACAACACAGATGAATCTACTCCAGCATCGTCTTTTCAGAAGCAGCCTATATTTGATGGCTCAAAGGAAGGTTTAAAAAAAAAAAAACCACCTCCAACAATCCACTTATATAGTCAATTCTATTTCACAGAGAGAAATTTCTTGCTGACCATAGCAGAAGATAAATTTATGCCTTGGAGCATAAAGATTGACAGCCCTTTAAATAATTACCTAAATTAGTTTAACTGCAACTGCTATTCTTATTCCTATAAAGCTATAATGCTTTAAAACATTACAGTTATTTGCCTCAATAATACTGTGCAGCAATGAATACCACAGGTTAATTATAAAGCAATTGGTAAAAATGGATTCTTAATTCATTTAAAATGTGTTGTAATGTTATTTGTGTGTCCCCTTTGTTTTTGTACTCTATTACAATAGAGTGTGAATAATAACCACCAATTAGACTCCTCTATATTGTTATGCGGGAAGGTGTTGGTGGCTATCAGCTAGGGTTGCCAACTTTCTACTCACACAAAACCGAATACCCTTGTCCCACTCCTCCTCCGAGGCCCCGCTCCTACTCACCCCCTCCCTCCTCCCTCTGTCGCTCGCTCTCCCCACCCTCCCTCACTGGCTCATTTTCACCAGGCTGGTTCAGGGGCTTGCGGTGCAGGAGGGGGTGAAGGCTCCAAGGTAGGGCCAGAAACTAGGAGATCAGGCTGCGGGAGGGTGCTCCGGGCTGAGGCAGTGGGTTGGGATGCGGGAGGGAGTGAGGGCTCCAGCTGGGGGTGCGGGCTCTGGGGTGGGGCTGGGAATGAGGGTTTTGGGGTACAGGAGGGTGCTCCAGGCTGGGACCAAGGGGTTCGGAGAGTGGGATCAGGGCTGCGGCAGGGGGTTGGGGCACAGGAAGGGTTCGGGGTGCAGGCTCTGGGCAGCGCTTACCTCAAACAGCTCCTGGAAGCAGCAGCATGTCCCCCCTCCAGCTACTATGTGGAGGCACGGCCAGGTGGCTCTGCGGGCTGCCCCATCCACAGGCGCCACCCCTGCAGCTCTCATTGGCCACGGTTCCTGGATAATGGGAGCTGTGGAGATGGCACTTGGGGCTAGGGTGACCAGATAGCAAGTGTGAAAAATCAGGACAGGGGTGGTGGGTAATAGGTGCTTATATAAGAAAAAGCTCCAAATATCGGGACTGTCCCTATAAAATCGGAACACCTGGTCACCCTACTTGGGGCGTGGGCAGTGCTCAGAGCCCCCTGGCTGCCCCGATGCATAAGAGCCGGAGGGGGGCATGCTGCTGCTTCCAGGAGCTGGGCGGAACCATAGCAGGTGAGGAGCCTGCCTTAGCCCCACTGCGTCGCCAACTTGACTTTTAATGGCCCAGTCAGTGGTGCTGACTGGAGCTTCCAGGGTCCCTTTCCGACTGGGCATTCTGGTCGAAAACCGGACACCTGGCAACCCTACTATTAGCAGGCATATCTTTCATCTTCACTCAATCACAAACCTCACTGAGGCTCACGTGTGTGCTAGCCACCCTGCATTAAGGTAAAATTCAATAGGTTCTTAAACTCCTTTAGCAGGGCCGGCTCCAGGCACCAGCTTGGCAAGCTGGTGCTTGGGGCGGCCACTCCGGAGAGGGGCGGCAGGTCCAGCTATTCGGCGGCAATTCGGCGGACGGTCCCTCACTCCTGCTTGGGGTGAAGGACCTTCTGCCGAATTGCCGCCGCAGAGGCGATTGCGGCTATTTTTTTTTTTTTGGTCTGCTTGGGGTGGCCAAAACCCTGTCCTTTAGGAAATAAGATAGCTGAAACAACAGAAAACACTACCCCAAGGGATTAGGCCACATACATGACTAATCAGAAGCTGAGCTACGGTGGGCAAAGGTTTTTTTTCCTGGGGCTGATTGCAAACTCAGGAGTCTTGTGTGTGTATATGTGTCAGCAGTACACAGGACCAGAAAAGCCAAGACAGAGCCAGAGAAGTGCTGATAGGATAGCCCTGAGAGAACATCACATGAAAGAATTTTCTGGACAGAGTAATGTCTGGAAGGGCAGGCCTAGTACTGTGAGGACGGAAACTGCCTCCTGTTTGATCCTACTGTGTTCAGAGAAACAGGATTTTGTACATTCTTTGTAAATAAACAGGATTGACCTACAGAAATATACTATTTGTATCATC